GTATCAGTGTCTAGAAATATTAGTAAAATACTTATCCATAAACTTCCTTGTGGATTCCACTGACAGAAAAATTATTTAAACTAAATCTGGTATGAATGTATTCAGGAGTGAATTGGTGTCGTTTATGTGGAGAACGGAGTTTTCGCAGCTGGACAGTCCCCTGCTTGCTTGCTTCTGCATTTACAGTGGATTAATGTCATGGTGGGTCTGCCAGTGCTGTGGAAGTTGGGGCAGCTGGATCCCACATGGCCTACTGTACAGTGCGAGTCTTGGACTCAGTGGCTTGGGAGAAATGCCAAGCATGCATTTGTGCCCAAAATCCTGAAAGGAGGGAGAAATGGAGGAAAGGGGATCGTGGTGTGAACATTCCCCATGGAGGGTGCTTTCTCACTTCTCTCTGTGTCTCTCTGTCTCTCTCCAAGGAGTGCATACACCCCTGGCAAAATTTTTCAAATAAAACAAAATTTAAAAAAAATAAGTGATGATTGGGCCAGCAGGTGGTGTGTTGATTAAGGGCGCTGGACTGCCATGTGGCCAACCACAGTCTGAGTCCTGGACCTGGCGGCTTGTGTTCTCCCTCTCTTGCTCTGTCCCTCTCTGGTCAAATTTAAATAAATAAATACATAAATAAAATAATTGTTTCAATATTTTGTTTAAAAAAAGAAGTGATGGCAAAGAGGAAAATTACACCAAAAATAAAATTTGGAGGTAGTGGAAGGCTCAGTGGCGTGGAGGTTAAGACATCTAGATCCCCCATGGCTAACCCCACCATTGGAGTCCTGCACCTGGCCAGCTTGAGAATGCATGTGTATGTATCCAAAATCCCAAGAGAATGGAGGAGAAGGGATTGTGGCATGGCCAGCCTCTCTAGGGGGTTGATTTCTTACTTTCCATTGATTGCTGTCTCTGTTTCTGGTGAGCACACATGCACTATAGCAAATAAAATTTCAGACATCATTATTTTAAGATGTCCTAGATCAGCCAACAGAACCTACTGAACCGTTTTTGCATGATTTCAGAATCTAATTCTGATTTAGCACTTTCAAGAAGAGAATACAAAGCTTACCAAGTCTTAGTGGTTTCCAACCTTATTGTAGAGACAACACCTCTGCTCAGAGGAATCAAATGTGTTTTGGTGCAAAGAATGATGGCGAATGTGCCAGGGATTGTAGATTGTGGTCATTCATTCATTCAGTCAGCAAACACTGGTGGTTTCTCTTCTTAGTGCTTTCACACTGCAGGTTCCCTACCCCACTGCTTTATAATGATCTTTGTGTCTGTCTTCCCCATTAGGCTGTAAGTTTCTGGAGATTTTATTTGCATTTGTATTTCCAGTAATCAGGGCAGTGCCTGGTGCAGAACAGCCACTTGTAATATTTGTTTTAAAAATGAACAGTCAACAGTGAATGAAGGCAAGGTAATTTTCCTGAAGAATTGACTCTTATTTATAGTTGAAATTACTTCCACACAGAAATTAAACATGAGCTTTTCCCACTGTGTTCAGTGATTGTGGCTGTTTGCTCTTTCTGGAGCCATCACTGAGTAAACTGTGTTAGTTTCCCATTCATGAGAGAGGTGTCAAAGAAGGATTCCATTCACGTTCATCTGGCTGATGCTGCTAAAGAAGCATTGTTTAGTGTTGGCAGAATACATGCTTTGATCACCCAGCTTCTCAGCATCTGGGGGACAGCTCTTGTAACAGAACCCGCATTATAAGGCATATTTGACATTATTTGGGTTTGTTGCTTACAACTGGGGATAGCACTGACTTCCTGTTTAACTGATCTTCAAAATGGCATTCTTAGAAATGTTTATAATGGTATAAAACTTACATTACCTTCAGGAATTGGTATGTGGAGGCAAGTCCACATTCATTCTTAGATAAGTAGAGTTATAGAAAAATTAAAGATTTTTTTTGAGCTCTATGACAGTTAGCACTGGGAAATATGTCCATTTTATGACATCATGTTCTACAAATTCAATGCAGTAAGATTAGCTTTACCTTTTTTTTTTTTTTCTACTCTTTTTTTTTTTTTTTTTTTTTTGAGAGGTTTTTGCTATAGGGCACATGTGCTCACCAGAAAGACAGAGAGATAGTGAGAAATCACCCTCCAGGAGGGATGGCCATCCCGTAATTCCTTCTCCTCCCTTCTCCTCTCGGGATGTTGGGCACGCATGCACATCATGCACCCGGTGTGAGTTTAAGCCACTGGGTCCAGAACTTGAACCACGGTCAACTACATGGGAGTCCAATGACATAGCCATTATGCCAACTGCTGGTTCCAGCTTTACCTTTATGAATGAAAGAAGTATTCCAGGAGGTCCTACAAGCAGGTCCTGTAACCCCTCATATTTAGTCTGACAGTAGAGTGCCAGGATTGCAAAGTGGGCTGCTTAGCACCTGGACACACCCTCCAAAGGTGTTCATGTCTTTATGAGTCCGTAGCAATGACCCAGCGAGATTACCAGTCACAAGTAATCAAACCTCTTCTTTTCTGTATGTGCATTTTTATTATAGAGCTTGGATAACAAATAAAAAAAATAATTTAGAAGATTAATAGTTGATAAAAAGTGGGTCAGAATCAGTCATGATCTCAATAATGGACTGCAACCATTATCGGAATTCTGGCATAATTCCTTTTGCATGTTTTTCTTACTTATGACCTCTTGTGGTTTTGTTTTTATATTACAGGGAGTGCATAATCAGGTGCCCTCTTTTATTTTCTCATTTTCATATTGGAGGCAGTTTTCCTTGTAGCTCATAATCATTTCTAAACTCTCTAAAAACCCGTTATTATATCCAGTCTGTCCAAGTAACTGTAGGTTAATCACTTCTATGGATGTATTACTTACAACATAAAGAAATACTTAGGGTGAGCCAGTGGCATGGAGGTTAAGGCAGCAGACCCTGCATCACCGAGCGCAGGGTTCTAGTCCTGACCTGGCAGTTTGAAAAACACAATAGGCATGTCTGCATGCATGCCCCAAAATCCTGAAAGGAGAATGGAGGAGAAGGGATTACTGTGTGGCCATCCTCTCTGTCTCTCCCTTTAAGTGCATTTGTCCTATAGCAAAAATTTTTTAAAAAGAAATACTTTAACAGATTATTCTTGATTTGTTCATAATTTATATATTTCTATCCTATTGCTATACTTCATGCTATTCTATATACTTTTTTTTTTTTTTTGAGGGGTTTTTTCACTGACGGGCACGTGGGCGCCCCAAACACTTCCATTATCGGAATTCTGGCATAATTCCTTTTGCATGTTTTTCTTACTTATGACCTCTTGTGGTTTTGTTTTTATATTACAGGGAGTGCATAATCAGGTGCCCTCTTTTATTTTCTCATTTTCATATTGGAGGCAGTTTTCCTTGTAGCTCATAATCATTTCTAAACTCTCTAAAGACCCGTTATTATATCCAGTCTGTCCAAGTAACTGTAGGTTAATCACTTCTATGGATGTATTACTTACAACATAAAGAAATACTTAGGGTGAGCCAGTGGCATGGAGGTTAAGGCAGCAGACCCTGCATCACCGAGCGCAGGGTTCTAGTCCTGACCTGGCAGTTTGAAAAACACAATAGGCATGTCTGCATGCATGCCCCAAAATCCTGAAAGGAGAATGGAGGAGAAGGGATTACTGTGTGGCCATCCTCTCTGTCTCTCCCTTTAAGTGCATTTGTCCTATAGCAAAAATTTTTTAAAAAGAAATACTTTAACAGATTATTCTTGATTTGTTCATAATTTATATATTTCTATCCTATTGCTATACTTCATGCTATTCTATATACTTTTTTTTTTTTTTTGAGAGGTTTTTTCACTGTAGGGCACGTGCGCTCGCCAGACAGACTGAGAGAGACAGAGAGACAGAAAGCAAGAAATCACCCCCCAGGGGGGATGGCCACGCCGCAATCCCTTCTCCTCCATTCTCCTCTCGGGATCTTGGGCACACACGCACACGCGCCCAGCGTGAATTTTAAGCCACCGGGTCTGGGACGCGAACTGCGGTTGACTACATGGGAGTCCAGCAACATAGTCATTATGCTAACTGCTGGTCCCCTTCTATATACATTTTTATAATAAAAACAAAGTTACTGAGCACTAGCACAGGATATCTGACTTAATCCTTATCGAAACACTTTTTAGGGAGGCATTATTATTATCTTCATTCAATAGAGAAATAGAAAACTGAGATCATATAGCCAGGAAGTGAAAGGCTTGGTCTTGAGGCCTGCTTTCCTGCCATGACTTCTGATGCTTCCTGAGGTCTTGTTTTTTAGATTTGAGATCAGGAGTTTGCATCCGTATTCACAAGGAATCTTTCTGTCTAGTCTAAGGCTAGTTTAGTTTAGTCCAGATCCATTTGATTTTCTCTAGTCATTGCATCTGAAATGGCAAACAGTATGTCCAGTCCAGGGATCTCACCGCTCAATAACCGTGGGATGCATTTTTTTAAAAAATTAAGTATTCCTTCATGGTGGTTGTATAAGTTATAACTGGACATATGACCAGACTCTTTAGAAGAAGGATGTCTAAACCAACTCCCAGCTTCCTTTCCTATATTTTAACTATGCCTGTGTATCTGACAGCTTGAAGTATTTGAGTTTTCAGGATTAAAATAGTCATAAAATAGTACTGAATTAGAAAACAAATCTCATTTACTTATATCTGTTTATTTTTCAGGTCACGGAACAAAAAACCAAAGGTAAGGTTTTGTGTTTTTCCTTTTTAAATTATTAGAACCTTTTGTGCTTAGATTTAAGCTATTTCTGACTCAGCCTCCAATCTACTTGAAAAGAGTAGGTATGCAGTAATGAAGGTGGGTTGTCTGTAGTCATTTAAGAATGGTAATTAAGTACTGGGGCCAGCAAGTGGCTTAGTGGTTAACAGTGCTGGACTCCTACATGGCTGACTGCAGTTTGAGTCCTGGACCCAGTGGCTTGAAAATCATACCAGACGCATGTGTATGTATAGCCAAAATCTCAGGAGGCAAATTGAGGAGAAGGAATTGCAGCATGGGCATCCCTCCCTAAGGGGTGATTTCCCAGTTTCTCTCTCTCTCTCTCTGGCAAGTGCATACACCCATGGCAAAAACCTAAAAACAAAACAAAACAAACAAACAAAAACCCAAAAAATCCTGAATTAGTGTTTTAGTTGGCCTTAAATATCTTAGGAGTCAAAAGAGTACCTTGCTTTAAAAGTTGTGTGGGTCAGTCTCAAGAATGGGAGACTTAAGAGAGTTTCTATCCTTGCCCACCTAAATATGTTGTTTTCACAGCAGGTGGAGTGGTGGTTGAGGTGACTGAATCCCCCAAGGCTAACTTGCATAGATTGATTTTTGGGACCTTGGCAACTTGAAAAACATGTAGGATACAAGTGCATATGTGCCCAAATACCGAAAGGAGAAATGGAGAAGGGACTGTGGCATGGCCATCCTCCGCCAGGGGTGCTTTCTCACTTTCACAGTCTCTCTTTCTTTTTGTTTCCAGCAAGCATATATATACCTTCTGTCAAGTTAAAAATAAATAAATAAAAAGCATATGAGTTTTGATTTTGAATTGACCCTTTTCAAAACTTTTTGTTGAATAATAACAAAATACCAACCCCTGATTTATAGGTGAGAAATGGCATGGCCTACCGTGAGTTAGAAAGTGGAATTATGTCAAGGATGTTCACACTGTCTTCTGAGCTAGAACCTGTAATAGACTTTTTACATCGTGTAATACATTTTGAGTACATTAACTCTATGATAAAATGGTAATACCTTGTAAAGAAAAGCTGGTATTCCTCACATCATTTTCAACTCACTGGTCTATTTCTTTTTCTCCTGTTAATTTTTAATTATGAGCTTTGTCTGGTGATGGTCACGGTTTTCCCTTAAGAATGGGAGACTTCTTAAGAGAGTTTTTATCCTTGTCCACCTATAAAATATGCTGCTTTCAATAAGTGTGTATTAAAACATTTGTGCAGAGTTATCAAATGCTCAAGTCTCTACCTCTTGCCAGACCTTCACAGCCCCAGGTCATTGCACTAGCATATGTGTGGGTTTTTTTGGTTTTTGTTTTGTTTTGTTTTTATTTTTGAGAGGTTTTTGCTATAGGGAGTGTGCGCTCGCCAGACAGAAAGAGAGAGACAGAGAGACAAAAGCGAGAAATCACCTCCCGGGGATATGGTCACACCGCAATCCCTTCTCCTCCATTCTCCTCTCGGGATTTTGGGCACGCATACACATGTGCCCGGCGTGAGTTTTAAGCCACTGGGTCCGGGACACGAACCACGGTCGACTACGTGGGATTCCAGTGACATAGCCATTACGCTAACTGCTGGTCCCTAGCATATGTGTTTTGAAAGTTCTGCTAATACCCCCAGTACATGTCTCCCACTGAGAACCACTGACCTGTACAGGGAGACATGAGACTGTGATAACTTGGGGGGAAGATACCGGTAGTAAAGGTCAAGGTTTTATGAGTGACCCTTTGATAATTTGTTTCTTCCTTGTTTAGTTTCTTAATTACCAGAGGACTCTCACCCTTGCCAGAGAGAGAGGGAGAGAAAGCATCCCCCTACACAGGGCATGGCCTCTCAAAAATCCTCTCCATCTCTCCATCCTGTCAGGGTTTGGAACACACATGCACATAAGCCAGTGTGTTATTGAAGCTGCCAGAGTCAGGATTTGAACTTTAGTCAGCTGTGTGAAATCCAGCTCCCTTAACCACTGCACCACAGGGCTGACCCATTCATTTCTTAACTGTTTTTGTTTTGTTTTGTCAGACCACCAAAGCTTGTCACATAGTGATGGAAGACTAATGACAGCAGTCTAATTTCTTAGGAAACAAATTCTCAAATAACTAGACATTATTGTAATGTATTTCTAATCAAAAGAGATTTCAAAGGTGAATGTAGTCTAGGACTTTGTAATAACTTATAATTATCACTGGTTAGAGAGAATAACACTCTCCTCTTGTTCTTTCAGCCAGTTTCAAAACCAGAAATAGGCTTTATTTTGGAAGTTTCTTGTAAATTACTTGTTTAAAATATAAATTATACTTTACCATAGAGATAGTGTTATTTTTAGTGGAATAGTGTCCATATTTTCTAAACCAACACACTGTCTAGGAAAAGATTTGAGCACTTACGTATTTATATTTATAGGACTTTTTGATGATATATAGGGAAAACACACAAGGAAGTTGGCGCTTTCCTGGTCAACCATGCCCTGTGGTTGCTGGAACATGGTTGGGTTCATGGGTCTGGCCACACATCTGTTGTTTGTGTAACCAAGTCTTGGTGTTTCTATTGGAAAACTGAAAATTCCTCAGGCATTATTATTTTAATTTATGTATTATCTAGTTTGTTCACAAACACATTTCTCTTTCTTCTGCCAAAGTCTCTTAAAAGTCACACTTTCCTTTTAACTCAATTCTGAACTTTCCTTCGATTTAGGATCTTTCTCACACTTGCCATACAAGGGAATACAGCTTCACGTCTCCATACTGTCCCCAACTCCCACCCCACCCCAATCAAAAAGTAAAGTAAAATAAGCCTAAAGTGAGCTGAGAGCCTTTGGATCTTCTATGGAATTTAATCATTAGAACCAAGGAGTGGACAAGTTCAATCAATTAAAAATTATCCCTAGGGTTTGTTAGACTGTAAGTAGGGAGAGACCTGGAACTTTCTTGTTTTTTTTTTTGTTTGTTTGTTTGTTTTGGGTTTTTTTGCCCAGTTGTATAGCCCCCTCTTCATCTTCATTTCTGAGAGCCACTTAGATGCTCTAAGTCTTATTCTTCTCTTCCTTCAGCTGTGTATATGGGTCCTATTCTTTTCCTTGAAGATAGTGTCTTCCTTTGGCAATCTGCCATTAACTCTGAGTTTACCCCCTTTTTCCAAACAGACCTTATAAGCAAAAAGAAAAGACTGTGGGTGCTGTCTCAGGTTGCTCAGAGGACTGGAGTAAAATTTTTTAATATTTCATAGAAAAAGTAGATTCATGGTATGTTCTTCCTTTATCCTCCATCATTAACATGGTGAGAATTCTAGAGAGAAGAATAGGACAGGGATTTCAAGTGGAGGTGATATGAAGACATGGGCTACAGCTGGGCCTGCTACCCAGGTAACACATAATGAAAAACACTTAAGGTAGAAACTCATATCCTCCTTTGTTGGATATTAGACTTAGAATCG